GAAGGTGGCTTTCAGTTTGTTTTCTAGTTATTAGTGATCTAGAAAATTTCCATTGTAATTGTTTACTAACTTTGCTACTTTACCAGTGGCCCCCAAACTTAAAATGCATAAAAATAATGACTTGGGGACTTGCAACATACACACTCTTGGGCCCCACTTGGGCCCACTGAGTCAGGAATATTGAATTTAAAATAGCTCTCAGCTGATCCTGGGGCAGAGGTCCCAGGAGCCACAGTAAGAACCCTCTGTGTGGGGGTTGCCAAATGCCTGGGCAGGAGGTGACAATGGCAGGATGGCCAGGGAGCTGTCTAAAGAACAGAAATGATACATACTAACATGTTAACGATAGACTTTCTCAGGGTGAAGTCACGGTACTTTTTTTTTTTTTTTTTGCTGAGCCATCCTGCTACCTGTTGGCAGCTCAGCGGCAGCTCAGCTCGGGCCGGGACTCGAACCGCTGTTGCTCAGAGCTCGCACTCTTAAGCGAGCTCTTAACCAACTGAGTCACTCGGAGGGCCCCAAGTCATGGTATTTTTTTTTTTTTTTAGATTTTTTTTATTGGGGAATTGGGGGATGGGAACAGTGCTGGGGAATTGGGGGAAGGGGAACAGACGAGTTGCTGTCGTTTTGTTCTTCAGTCTAGTTGTGGAGGACGTTGCTTCACTGGCCCAAGTTGGCACCATCATTGCGCTCTTCCCGGGCGAGGCAGATCAGTCGCCGGCTTCTGGACGGCCGCTCACTGCGGCTGCTGGCCGCTCACGCTGGCTGCTGGCCGCTCACGCTGGCTGCTGGCCGCTCACGCTGGCTGCTGGCCGCTCACGCTGGCTGCTGGCTACACACAGTAGCCCATGGCAACCCACTGCCACAGGGGCTGCAGCCTACGCCGTCGCCGGCGACTCACGGCAGCCCAGCTCCAGGTTGAGCTGTTGTTCAGCATCTTAGCTGTAGAGGGCAGTGTCACTGGCCCTCATATGTGGGATCCAAACCGGGGCCCTCTGGCGTCCCAAGCCAGTTCTTAACCATCGCGCCACTCAGCCGGCCCAAGTCATGGTATTTTTAACATTACTTGTTATGCTTGTCTTCCTGTCTCAATTTTTAAAACGAATATATATTACTTTTATGTTCAGAACAAAGTCACAAATGTAATTTGAAATGATGTTTGAAGAGATAGGACTTAATCGGGCCACAGCGAGCTAAGAGGGCGACTTGCACACTCTGTCAGGTGCTGCAAATGAGCACATCCTTCCTGAGGGTAATTTGTCAAACATATCAAAGGCTTTCAAGCATTCGTACATTTGGCCAGTCACTCTTCTAAGAAGCTATCTGAAGGAAACAAGCCGAGATGCCAAGATATCTGTACAGGACGTTCCTCACAGAGTTTTCTGTCATCTAAAAATTTGAATACGATACCCTCACTGACAAGAGGGAACCGGCTGAATAAATGATAGCACATCCCTCTGAGGTATTTTATGCAATTGCCAATATATGCTGGGAAAAGTCTTAATAGTGTAGGGAAGTGTTTATGCTAAACTGAATTTTAAGAGCAAGATAGAAAGCTATATATAGTCTGATCACAGACACAGTGGATGATTCTTAACTCCTGATAGTCACACCTGTGCAGTCTCCTCCCACCCTTCGTAGAGCTGATGGGTGTAACCATAGGATGTAGCAGAAATGACAGGGTGTGACTTCTGAAGCCAGGCCATAAAAAATATTGATGGAGAGAGGAAGTAGAGAGTAGAACAGGGGTTACTAGGGACTTTGGGGAGGTGAGGAAAGGGGGGTGGGGAGTTATTACTTAATGGGCACAAGAGTTTCCGATTGAGATGATGAAAAAGCTCTGGAGATGGATGGCGGTGACGGTTGCATAACAACGTGAATGTACTTCACGCCATTGAACCATACAGCTAAAAATGGTAAATTTGTTGTCCATATTTTACCACAGAAAAAAAAGTTTTTTAAAGGCATTGCAGGGCTCTGCCTTTGTCTTTCTTGGGTCACATGGTGGAAGCCAGCTGCCTTGCTGCGAGGACACTCAAGCAGCCTGGAGAGGTCTGGGTGTGGAGGATTCCAGGCCTCCTGACAACAGCGGCACTAACTGGCCAGGTATGCGTGTGAGCCCCTGAGAAAGCAGCTCCTGCAGCTCCAGGCAGGCCTTCAGCTGAAGACAGCAACCATATGAAATAATACTGTGAATTGTTTTAAGCTGCTAAGTTTTAGAGGAATTTGTGATCCAGTAATAGATAACTAATGCGTAGAAAGAGACACAGATGTGAGCTGTCTCCTACCCTTTCATGGCTTAAACCACCATCTTGCTTTTCTAGCGTCCACTTAGGGTGTAGAAAACTGGAAAGAGCCACACTCACACCATTGCAACGAAACCACGAGATAATGTGCAGATTCACAGCCTTTCTTGGACATGACAGAGAGCCGAGGTTGCAGCTGGCTCCCTGTTAGGGCCCCTGGGTGGGGGTGCTAAGGGGAGACGGGGAGGGGGAGGGCCAGGGGGAGTAGGAGGGGTTGGCTCCTTCCTGCTGCCTGTGTTCCTGTCACCATCCACTCAGCACTGGCCCTGCCTGGGTGGCGTCTGCTCCCTGCAGTTACCGCCTCTGTGTTCCCTCAAGGCTCCCTTTTTAGCCTTTCCAGTCCTCCAATAATACCTGTTTAACCAATTCCCTAAATTAAATTCTCTGTTCAGATCACCACCTGGTTTCTGTTTTCCTAACTGGCCTTCAACTGACAACACACGAGCTCAATTCAGCTCATCAATTATTATGCCAGGTTCTCTAGAGGGGCCCAGATATAAGTAAGGCAGAGCTCCCACTAAGGTCCGGATCACCCTTCACCATCTAACCTTGACTGCCTTTCCTGTCTCCGACCAACCCCCTCCACCTGCGCTCTGGCTCACGGGGCTGCCTATAAGCCCAGCACGGCACTGTCCTGCCCTCCTCATGTTTTGTGGGCCCCAACTCGACTGAAATCAGACACTAAGCAAATGAGACACCTCAGCATTTGAGGGACCACTGCAGAGGAATGATTCGGTTTTTCGTTGTTTGTTTGTTTGTTTTGCCCCCCAAAAGAATGATTTATGCTTAGGCTGTCTTTCACTACTCTGGTGGGTTTTTTGCTTACTGATGTTTTCATTCTTACAGAAAGCCACTGGTATCGCAATTAAGCCACCAGATAACCTTCTTCTACTCACTCAGGAGAGGAAGCGTGCTGAATGTGTGTGTGAGCATGCACACGCACACATGAGCACACACAGCACATGCACAGCACATGGGAGCACACACATATCCTGGCCTGCATATTAATTTACCTAACTGATAAAATGATACTAAAACTTCCAAAAATGTATTTAAAAAACAAAACAAAACTCCAGGTGATGTCGTCCCAGTGCTGGCATCTGAAAAATGACAGGAATTTCATTTCCACAGTCTTATTGCTTATGAACTAAAAGTGCATGAAAAAACGCGAATCTATCTGCCACTTAAAGAAGACCCACCTCCAGCAGAAAAACCCATTTTAAAGAAACAAAACAAAGCAACAAAACTAAGAGAAAGACCCCAAGTTGCCATTGTTCTGCCCAGACTATGCACCAGGTGGCATCAACAGCAAAATCTGGTCCTTGAAGGATGAAGAAATGTTATCCATTACAATGGTTTGTGGTGCGCTCCAAAAGGCCTCAGCATATACACAGATATGCAATATATCTGGGATATTAAACTTTTCTGGATGGACAGTATTTAGGGAAAAAAGTGTTCATGGCTGCTGGGGATCAGGAGAGAGGGCAGTAAAGAAAGGGGCTGAGAAACGCTCATCTCATGAAATCACACACACTTGCTGCACTCTGTTTGCTCGAGCACTCCCATTGGTGGTATCTTTTCCTCCAGGTTTCTAATAAACTCGGAAGAAACAGTGTATTTTCTTGAGCAAGAAGAGTCAGGAATAGAATCTAGGGGAGAATTTAATCCGACTGAATGTGGACCTTGGTTACCAGCGTCTTCCTTAAAAGCTGAGCACCAAAGCTCAAGCCGGCCTTCCTTTATTTGCCAACAAATGTTTGGTTGATGCTAAATAGCTTATTTTTCTACCTCAAACTGTCATTCTTTTTAGGAAAACAAAAGTGTTTCAAGCCACCTCTTTCCCTCTGGGTCAGTCTAGGCTCCCTCGAGTGCAGTCTCTGCTGTCACACGTCACAGAGGAGAGGTGTCACCTGTCGCCACTATAGACAGATATGACTCACACAGCTTGCTGGCCCCACTTTGTTTTGAGGACAAGTGTGTGCCCCTGATAAGTTACTCTCTTCTTGGTACTGCTCACTCCTTCTGACATGGCCCTGCTGTAACCAAAGCACAACAAATTCTCTCCATGGTCCCAGCCACCGATCGCACTGTTACACCAACTTTGCAAATATTTTATAAGACATTCCTGGTACACAGACCATGGAGCACACACTTCCGCTCACACAATCACGACATGTGCTCGTGTCATCATCATCGTCGGCTCAGTCCTAGCGCGAGCCACTTGCTACGGTCTCCAGGGATTCACGCAATCATTTTGTTTGTGCTTGGCGCTGTAAGGGGCTAACAAGATTTCAAAGCACAGCTCCTGCTTGGGGAGAGAAAGAGAAGTGTACAAATAATGATATACTATAAGGCACTGTCTACAGTTCTGGAAGAGATGTACGAACCAGAGCTGCTGGTGTTTCGGAGAAGGGAGACCTTACTCCCAGAAGCTGGGAGTCAGGAAACCTTCATGTCAACAGGTGTTTTTCAGCTGGTGAAATGGGGGTAGAAAAGAAGCAAGTGCCGCGCACAAAGGTGGGAAACAGCAGGCGTTCAGGGCCAGAGGCGGGGAAGCCAGAACAAACGGACCAGAGGAAGGGAGGCGGGGCCCACCCACGTCATCCAGTTTTTTTGTATTTGAAAGCCTGAACCAAGTATTTTAAAACAAGGCATGCATCGTTTTACTCTAGCAAAGACGTGAGCGGCGTTTACCTTCCGTTGGAAATTTCCTGGCTCGTTCCTCGAAGAACCAGTCTCCAGTTTTTATTTTCACATTTCTGAAAAACAAGCAGAAAGGAAAGCTCAGCTAGAGATGGCTGTATCGGGCTCATTAGAAGTAGGTCGATAGTGGGCCGGCCGAGCGGCACGTTGGTCAGGAGTTGGCTTGGGACGCCAGCTCAGCAGCGGGGCCGCGGTTCGGATCCCACATGAGGGCCAGTGACACTGCCCTCTACAGCTAAGATGGTGAACAACAGCTCAACCTGGAGCTGGGCTGCCCCGAGTTGCCGGCAATGGCGTAGGCTGCAGTGGGACTGGCCGGCAGCTGGTGTGAGCTTTCGTGAGCCGCCCTGAGCGGCCGTCTAATGGCCGGTGAGCAACTGCGTCACCCGGGAAGAGTGTGGTGGTGATGCCAACATGGGCCAGTGAAGTGACGTCCTCCACAACTAGAATGAAGAACAAGAGGACAGCAGCTTGTCTGTTCCCCTTCCCTACTTCCCCAATGCTGTTCCCCTCCCCCAATTCCCCAATTAAAAAAAAAAAGAAGTAGATGGTATCACAAAATATTAGTCTTGAAAGGGACCTCAGAGTTCAGATTACTGACCCAACCCCTAACCTTACAGATTTCCCAGAGAGGTTAAGTGATTTGACTGGTCAGCAGCCAAGTGGGGGGTGTCCACTTGGGTGTACAGTAAAACCTTGGATTGTGAGTGGCTTGGTTTCCGAGTGTTCCACAAGACAAGCAAACATTTCTAATACATTTTAACTTGGTAAACGAGCGATGTCTTGCAATACGAGTCGTTTGTTTCCAGAACGAATTATGCTCGCAAACCAAGGCATTACTGTATTTTACCTTCTATGTGATATGTATACATAATATATACATATTAATCTATGCGTGTGCCCAACATGTAGTAAGTACTTAACGTTTTCTGAATAAACAAGGAAAAACAAAATTGGCACCAAAGTAATCAATTTAGTAGCGTATACAGATGTTTCATTATAAAGTTGTACCCCTGACATTTACATAATGTTATGAATCAACGTCACCCTAGTAAATTTAATTAAAAATAAAATAAAAGATGATAATTTATCATGGTTTTCTGTGGAAACAATGACATGGAGGACAAAATACCAAAAAAAAAAAATTTCCATGCTATTTGCTAAGAGGAAGATCACCCTTCATTAATAGTTTAAGGTGAGTTTGAGTTAACCACGTTTACCAAGAGCCAACAGGGAAGGTTCCTGGGGGGACCTAAAGTCTGGGATGTGGGGTCAATGTGCTTCAGTGGAGATTTGGGGACCTGGGTCCTAGTGGACTACTTGCAAAGCTGGGAAAATGACTTCTTGGCCAGCTGGTCTGAGAGCAGCTAGCTCCTAAGGCAGCACTAGAGCTCGCCTTCTTGGTCACACAGAGAACAGCAGGGGGGGGGGCACTTTTATAGGATCGCTGCTTGACACTGAAGCCCTAAAGTGTGTTTTACTCTTGACAGTCCCCACATTCCTGGAGAAACCACCCTCAACCTCAAAGAACCCGAGAAAGCTAGAATTATTAATATCCTTTTAGGATGTAAAAAGGTAAGCGCAGAGATATTATAACTTGTTCACACCCCTAAAGTAATACGCCACAAACGTGTCAATTCCCTGGTTATGTAGACTTAAGAAAAATGAAAACTTCAACTCATGGCAAATCCTCTTTTATGAAAGTATTTACTGAAAGAAGCCCTCATTGGGTTCTTTTAGGTTTCTACATGAACTCAAATGGAGTTTTCAAACTTAATGCTTGCAAACACTGTCAATGTAAGTAAATTCACAAATATATGCCACATCATTATTTAAGAAGTAGCCTGTCTTTGCCTATGGAGTTCTAATGGTTGTCAGAGACAGCAACCAATTTCCTCCCCTTCATCTGGTTAGAAACCATTGTATTCTCTGATCAGTACGCTGCAGCATGACTATGTCCAGTGCTTAGAGACTAGAACAAGGAAATCATACATAGCGCATTTATAAAATTTGATAATCAGTCACTACCACTCAGAGCCAAAATACATAAAATGTTCAACTGTGATTATGTCTCAGACAGAGAAATGTTTGCAGCCATAAAATCAGAAACTCGAATACCTAATCTACTAAGTTGAAGAAGAACTGAGCATCTTAACTAAGTTCCCCCTCCGGCTCTGAAGTAAAGCAGAGGGTCAAAACCCAGGGGAAGTTTGGAGAGATTAAAGGGGTAGTGAATTCACGCTCCCTTGAAGTGTCCCATCTACTAGTTGTTCTATTTCTGAGGACGCCTCTTCCGTCCTTATAAGCAGGACAAGGTCTAATAGTTAGATGAGAGGAGCAGGATAGCAAAGTCAGCGGCAGAAACCAGGAGGCCTCCGTCTGCTTCTGCTAAATCAGCTTCCCTTCCTGGGGTTTTCCCCCTTATGGTGGCGAGTGACCCGTCGCAGTTAATCCCTCTCTCACACGCTCCAGCTCATCACCCTTGTGACCAAAATCATTCGTGTATCATACAAGACAGGTCTGGAGATGGGGCGAGGCCTCAGGCTGGAAAAGAGATCAGAACTAAGAATTCAGCAACGAATCAAACCATGACCCTGTCTGTCGTCAGCTGAGCTGGCCGGACACAGGCCACCATTGCAAAGTCAACACACACACAGACACACATTCCCGAGAAATGGTTAAGGGGAGGAGGGAGAGGAAGGTGAGACACCCGAGTAAATCACCGTAGCAGATTATTACCAAGTCCTTCTCTAGCCCTGGTTTCAGGACCTACACAAGAAACAGATAAATTAAAATACTGGTCTCCTAGTGCCAGTCATCTAATGCAACCACCTCACCATCTCACTGAATCCCAGCTGATCACCTGTGAAGTTCAAGTAGGAGCTTATTAGTCATGGACGGATTTGGACACAGACTCGCATGTCACCTGATTAAAGAATGGAAGGGTAAGAACAGCACAGTCCTGAACCATATGACGACCAGCGCTTTTCGCATTTGAGGCTGTTTCCTTTCAAAACTAGATTTGAGCTGGATCTTAAAGAATTCTTGCAGAATCAGCCATTTCCTGAGCAGTTGTTCCCTAATACGGTTGTTCCCTAATACTCCCATAAGGGCTCCCTGTTGGCACAAATCCCGAATTTTAAAAGGAAGACCATTTATTGCTCATATTATCTAAGACAGAGGTGAGCGGACCTCGAAGTGGTGGCCCCTGCAGTGTCTCTGTGCTCGTCAGGGCCAACACAGGGTAGCCTGACTCACAGTAACCAAAGGAAGCATTTCTTATTTCTTCCCAGACAATTGATCAGAATCTGGCTATGAAAGCTTCTCAGAACACTTTCTGAGCTCAGCAATAATTAATGCTTTTACATTTCTCAAGCAAAATCATAACTTGTTTTGCTTAAAACCTTTTCCAGTCAATCAGCAAATATATCTCGAAAAGCAAAAGCCAGGGTGATGGAGAAAACAGATCTCGTCAGGAGTCCGGGGTTCTTTCAGCGTCTGACCTTTCCACTAACTCTGCATGAGGGTCACTGTAATTATAACTGACAAGCACTGGTGCCTAGAGCCTCTTAATAAACGTCTGGAAATTCCAGTGTCCATTTTCATAGCCTTGAACTCTGCGGATGCTGTCATTTCATTAGCACATGAGAAATAACTATTGAAAGCACTTTGCAAATTCTAGCATACAAACATTCAACAGAACAATGAATAGATGACCCTTCCAGAAAGATAGTTTGACCTCATTACTATCAGCGAGCAGTGAGCCCAATAGGCCTGTTGGAACGCATTTTCATTTTGCATCCAGATTACTGGAGTCTGCAGGTGGTCAAGCTGCCCACACTTCATGCTCCCAAAAAAGTTAGCATGATGCTCCTAGAGTTGCCCTATGTATATTTCCACCATTCAACGCACAGAGGTGGAAAACTGGCCTGTAGAGTCAGGATTCTTCAAAGGCCTAAAGAAGCACATTTCCTGTGTCGATCTGCTCTCCAGCCAATGTCCTGATGGCTGGCTCTTCAGACAGACAAGGTGCAAAAACTTTAAATGAAGAAACCAAATTTTGTAAAACTGCAATCTGTCTAATGGCTCTGTGCTAGCTTGTCCAACCATGAGGCAATGCCCAGCTAAAATAGTTCTACGCATACATATCGTTGAAAATCGCTTTACTCCAAATAATCCTCCATCTAAGATGGTTTTCAGTTACAAAGCAAACTAGTGAGTTTTTTCCACCAGCTCAGTTGATCTGATTTCAACGTTCTTACAGGAAAAAAGACTTATTGTTGTGATGAGCTCCTAGATAACAGAGAGGAGTCAGAGCATTGAGGTGAAGATAAAGAAATGATTTTATCAAGCTGCTACCACCACTTCATGCAAAACAGTGATAACTCTCCTTTACTTGATCTCAGAGAGAAGACGGGTCCCCTCCGTGTCATATTCGGTGCTGTGTTTACAGCCCCAAGCACGATGGAAGCTTATGGCAGAGGCCAGTGAATATATGTGGGTTGGTGAATGAATGAATATCCCGTCTGCAGGGAGCGCCCTGAGAATTGAAGGTAGAGCCCTGGTGTCAGCGTGCATCATGCCCTCTAAACGTGTAGGGTGGGCTCACGAACTTAGGCTACCAGCAGAAGCTGTAACTGAGGAGGGTGGGCTGGGTGTGAGACAGCAGGGAGGGGTGGGTGCTGTGGCAACGTGGAGGACCCAGGGCCTGTTTTAAGGCATTAAATTATAAATATTAGATATCGCGCAGCCCCCCCCCCCAAAAAAAAGAAGCCCATGGGCTGTCTGCAGCCTGTTGGCCACGGGTTTATGATTTTCAGTTTGTTATATCAGATAACTAGTCAATGAAAAAAGACAAATTCTGCAGCGGGACAGAGCTGTGCTTGCTAACGGTTAGATGCTGCGGTTTACCCGGTCTTCCCTGTAGATCTAAGAAGGGATCCGCCAGCACCGAAGGGGCCAGAGAAGGGGCAAAAAACAAGGAGCATGTCCTCCTTGCTGGCAAAGCCTCAACCCGGGTGTCTTGGAGGCAGCTGAGAGCCTGTGACATGATGCC